CATTATTGTCCAAATGGACTTCTGGTCTGTAATGTTCAATTCTGTTTAACCTTTGAGTCACTGTGTGCCACTGCTGACGTGTGTAGATCCTGTGTGTACAGGATAACCTACCTCACAAATTGGAATACTTTATCAGTGACCTTACACCACCTCTACATCCAAAAAAGATAAAGGAAATGTTTTTTTCTGTGTATCCTGACTAAAAGGACATCTTCTTCTAAAGATTGTGGCAATATTGTGATATTTCTCTTTGTGATAATGTGGCCTGTTTTTTCTTCAACCTCTCTCTGTGCCATAAACACGCTGTGCAGATGAAGGTTGAATACATAATGTAGAATTATCTATTAGCTCTGTCTCTGACGCAGTAACACAGCAAGTGTCTTTTTGCTTTCCCTGCAGGTGAGCCCGAGTTTAAGTACATTGCCAACATGCACGGCAACGAGGCCGTGGGCAGAGAGCTGCTCATCTACCTGGCTCAGTACCTGTGCAACCAGTACCAGCAAGGCAACGAGACCATCATCGACCTCATCCACAGCACCCGCATCCACCTCATGCCCTCCATGAACCCAGACGGCTTCGAGAAAGCCGCTTCTCAGGTGAATACGCAGCAGAACAACACAGTCCGGATCCAAGGACCAGACCATCGGACAGATTAAGCATAGAAGACTACAAACATTGACTTTAAACACTGGCTTTACAGCACACAGACACACAGTAAAAATAGGAATTATTAAACCTCCAGACACTGTCTTCTATTCTCTTTGCTCCTATATGTGTCTAAACACCATTTCCTGTTTCTCGTTCAGCCTGGCGAGATCAAGGACTGGTTTGTCGGTCGCAGTAACGCGCAGGGTGTGGATCTGAACCGTAACTTCCCCGATCTGGACCGCATCATCTACATCAACGAGCGGGAGGGCGGAGCCAACAACCACCTGCTGCAGAACATGAAGAAGGCTGTGGATGAAAATACCAAGGTGTGCAAAGAGACACCCAGATTCAGACAGTATGGGAGATTAAAGGATAAAGACGGGGGTTATTTCTTGTAGTCAACAAATCCCATTAAAACACCAAAACAACAATGTGTCTCAATACTTTACAGTTTATCTGCCCTGTCTGCGGCTCTCTGCCCCGAACCCATTCATTCCTACTGAATGTGTGAATCTATATAAGCCGGTTGCAATTACATAACGTGTTATTTAAAAAAAATAAATAAATAGAGCTGTTTTTAGGGACTATATTTAATTGTGGATTAAAAAACATTTGGTTCTCTGGTGCGTTTTTACAACAGCAGGATGCTTTAATGGCAAAAAAGTATTAAATGAGAATGTGAAAACTTTTGGTTGGTAAAAACCAAAAAAAGAGCTAAAAGAGAGTAAATACTGGACACCAGGTGGACAGAAACACGACTCAAAATGAATGATAATGTTGCTCCTTAACTGCTTGATGGAAAAATCTGCTATTGTAGGTTTTAAATCAACTTTAGAGCCCACATTCATCATCATTCATGATAAACGTATCACCCAGTGCAGCAGTTTGATGAGTTGAATCTATTTTATTGGTTTCATAATCTTTTTACCCTCCTTTTCCAGCTGTGAGGGAGAAACAAAAATGCAAACAGCCAGATGCAGAGCCAGTGTTGGTTTGTCCCTTGTGAGCTAATGTAGAACCATGGCAGTTCAAAACGTCTGTAGATAAAAATGGCTCATTGCAAGGTAACGGAAACATAATGATTTTTATTTTCAGGTGATTAAACACTAATGAAAACATACCTGTCAATATAATATACTATTTCTGCTAACAGATCCTCTGAAGTGTTACACATTAGACCTTTAATACGTTGTTGGTTTTGGTCATTTTGTGGCATTTGTTGACAGTAAGAAAAATACAGAATATCACCAGACGTATCCTTTATTGCTTTAAGACATATGGTGTTGAAAGTGATAATATTTCAGACACAGAAAAGCCTCTTTGACTTGTTTGCAGGTGCAGTATGTATTTTTACTTACCAGTAATTTCAGATTTTGTGCCTTTGCAGCTGGCTCCAGAGACTAAAGCAGTGATCCACTGGATCATGGACATCCCCTTCGTCCTTTCAGCTAACCTGCATGGAGGAGACGTGGTGGCCAACTACCCATATGATGAGACCCGCACTGGTACATAAACACATATGTGGACACACAATCTCAAACATTTCCTGTTTGGGTTGTTAAACTGTATATAAACTGTTCCCTTGCTCTATACGAGAATGTTTCCACTGCTTTAATGAGACAAACATTTGAACCTGTAAATGAAACAACAAACACTTTATTCGTTTTTCTAAAGAATGTCGTAACCAGATGGAAAATGTTTCCTTTCTCTGGCTCCCTGTGCATTGTTACTCAAAGTAAACAAAATGTGTTTGTGCAGGCACACGTTTAATGTGTTGCAGATGCAGGTATCCAGTTAATACCTTATCATTGTCTGTGTTCCTCTAAGGCTCCACCCATGAGTACAGCGCCAGTCCAGATGATGTGATGTTCAAGTCTCTGGCGAAGTCCTACTCGATTTACAACCCAGTCATGTCCGACCCTCAACGACCACCCTGCCGTAAGAATGACGACGACTCCAGCTTCAAAGATGGTATCACCAATGGAGGGGCCTGGTACAGCGTGCCCGGAGGTAAGAGACAGCAGGTTTATAATATGTGAGGTTTTGATCAGTTGAGAGAGACCTGGCCAGATATGGTTGAGGCTGTTATTAATGTTAATATTGTATTTGAGAGTTAGTTTACATACAATTCTCTGGTGGCCGAGGGGTTTAAAACCCTGATGATGCTTATTTTATACTGTTTGACTCTTGTTGGTTTCTCCTCTCCTTCCTTCATATCCTGTTAACCCTCCACTTTACTTTTATATATCTGTGTATGTAAGCTAATATCAACTGCTAATATTCGCCATTTTATTGGTCTGGTTGGGCTCGATTTAGTGAAATCAAGCTCATATGTAATTAAGGTGTAACAAAATGAACCCCTATATAACTGAAAATCTCCAAAATCAGTCTTTTTCTGCTTAAATTTCCATTATAAATGTCTAAATATATATGTTCTCCACTGTCACTCATTTTCTCTTATTAATGTTGTGGGTTTTTTTTTACCATTACAGGAATGCAGGATTTCAACTACCTCAGCAGCAACTGTTTTGAGATCACTCTGGAGCTCAGCTGTGACAAGTTCCCCAGTGAGGACACACTCAAGAACTACTGGGAGCAGAACCGCAACTCACTGGTCAACTACATCGAGCAGGTAGGCAGCACACCAGGACCAGAAATACAAAAATAAGGATCTCATATAGTTACACTGGAGAATGAGGATGTAGTTTTTCATTCTGGTATGAATCTAAAAAGCAAGGACTCAGAAACCACATCAATATCTATCTCAAGTGAATAAAATGTTAATGGTTTTAAATTCATGTATGGCCAAGAAGTCCTCCAAGTAAATGCCAAAATAAACCCTTTGACTGGTCCAAATATGACTTTGCATTTTCTGATTTGACACCTTTATGGTCAAAGTATGAGTAAGTTTAGCTAACTTAAACTATTTGGTTCACATTCAAGAAATATTGTCTTCCAACCCCCAAACAGACATTTTGTTCTCTTGGCTTAAAAGACTTATGCCTTATGTGTGTTTGTAGGTTCACCGTGGCGTCAAGGGCTTTGTGCGTGACCTGCAGGGCAACGGCATTTCCAATGCCACCATTTCCGTGGAGGGCATTGACCATGACTTGACCACAGGTATGACAACCATACCTATGCTTCACTACAATGAACCCCCACTGACATGAGAAATGTAGTAGTAAGGTGTTGCACTGCCATCTGGTGGACAGACGTGGTACTGGATTTTCAGCAGCTGTTTTTTTATTTGCTCATCATACCACAGTGATAGTATCAGGTACTACTGGCTGCGTTTGGAGGAACTGTTGGATTCTCTGTTTGTTGCTTACTTGTGTTCATGAGAAAATCTGTATTTTGTAGCCAAAGATGGAGACTATTGGCGCCTACTGGCTCCAGGAAACTACAAAGTGGCAGCCTCTGCCCCAGGATACCTGACTGTCATCAAGAAGGTTGCTATTCCCTACAGCCCCGTGACCAGGGTAAGACTCACTGAGAAATGAACCAACCATATTCACTGTGTGCTCCTCCTAATATTTACAAAAGCTTGCTCAGGACCTGAAATGATTTTTAGACATTTTAGCTCTATCCTTAGATCAAATCATGTATTATGTCTACGGTGCCAGTCAAAAGTTTGTGAGCAACCTATACGAATAGCATTTTAGATCTCAGGCAAACTACAGATCTGTTGTAAGTATTCTAATATTAGAGCATGTAAGTAAGAAATAGGTATAACGAATTAAGGAATATTTAAAAAAAGACTTTGATCACTTTAATCAGGCAACTCTAGCAGAGAAGGTACTGTATATTTGACTTATTCTGAGAGGGTTTATTCACTTTAAAGGTCAGTTGTAAAAGCAGCCAGAGTAAAATTTTATCCCTTATTCAGTGGGTTTTCAACAGTTTGGCTTGTGACTCTTTAAAACAATGGAGTACCTATTTAAAAACACTTCATTTCATTACCCTGTGGCTAATTCCTAGACCTCATTGTTGTCCAAAAACTATTAAAACCAAATTACTTTTTCCATCCTGCTGCCGGAAATACTAGAGTACCAAAAATAACGAGTAATAGAGCACCAATTGTGTATTACTGAAAATAGTCCCCAGCAAATCCACTATGTACTGCTGTTTGAGTGATGCCCTCATCAGGAAATTACTGAACAAAATAAAACAATAAAACTATATATTTGTAATCTGTTTTAAATGATTTATGTGTGTAAGGAAGGAATGAGTTTGGCGTTGAAAGCCACACATAGGCTAAGGAAGTCGGCAAGCACTTAGACAGACTATCGCATTGGTCTCTTCATAGCATTGGGTAAAAATAAGGGAAAAATGTAGGATAATAACATCATGTCAAGTCCTCCAGGGAAAGTCTTAATAAGTCTGAAAAAGTATCATCTTTTACCTCTTACCCGTTGTCTGTCTCCATCTCTCTCTCTCTCTCTCTCTCTCTGTCTCAGGTGGACTTTGAGCTGGAGTCTCTGATGGAGAGGAAGGAGGAAGAGCGGGAGGAGCTGATGGACTGGTGGAAGATGATGTCAGAGACACTGAACTTCTAAAGCGTTTGTCTGGCTGATGATCGGATTGTCCGCACATCGATGTAATATATTCAACATTCTGTGTGCCCGTCCACTCCCGAAAAGAATATATTGTCTCTTCTCCGTTTTGTTCTCTTTCGTTCATTATTTTAATTGATTATATTGTTCATTAATGTAATGGTTTGGCCTCATACTCCTGTAGATTGTTTGTATATCCTGCAGACACACAATCACATACTGACGGACACAGGAGGAATTTGCAGGTAGTTTGGTGGCAGCGAGATCGATGTTGATTTCTGTGGTATTGTGTTCTTTATCGTACACGTGATTGGTAACCATGGCACCCATCTATATAACCAATGAGTGACTGAGTAATTATGTATGTAAAAGAGCTGTTTACATCATTACCACATGGCTCTGTCCATAATAATTCGTCCTTTTTCCTGTTTTAAATGTCTCTGTTTCTCGAGGCTTTAGTACAAACACACAAATATAAACACACAACCTTAGTGCACTAAAAAAAGGTTCAATTCAATTCCCGGTAACTGTAAACTTGCACACTCACACTCTCTCACACACACACACACACACACACTGTAATATAATATATACAACACTATGGTTTTGAGATAATCAGGGACATTAAAAACTGTAAAATCACTGTATACATTATATTGTAAACAATCTATACAGGCGAGCTCATTTCCCTGTATCTTATTGATGTTGAGATTTTTTTTTTTTTAACTGACTGCAGCACAGCTTTGATTTTAGCACAAGATGAATGGTTATAATATATACTGTATTTATGAGCTAGGTATAGTAAGAAATATGTTGTTTTTGTAACTAAAAAAAATATAAAAGAAAACAAGACAAGGCCATGACACCTATAAATCCGTCAACCTCAGTCTACCCGAAGCCATTCCTTTGTATGTGCACTACACAGGGAAAACTATGGTACATAAGGGACTGTGGTAAAAGTACAAGTTGTTTTTCAAGGATAAATTAACACTAATCTTCTGAGTGGACTGTATGGATGCTGTTCATCTGGTTTGAGACCACAGAAAGAATTTATTGAATGTATAGCTATAGAAACAGTTACAAATGTAAAGAATGAACTGATCAATAAAACTCCCCTCTTTATGTTGTCAAACTGCAGTCTTGTGGCCTTTGTTTTAGCTCGTTCAGGTGAAAGTGGCCCATCCCAGACAGAAACTGGGAGTGTGCTACAGTACATGTGTTAACTGGTGTATTTAAGGCTAAATGGTGCACACTAATGAGGATAAGGCCGTGTTTTTCTAAAGGTTCTGATTACATCAGACCGAAATAAATCTGAATTTGGGAAAACATTTGTTGGTTGTAAAGAAAAGTTTACAATTTAAATAGCTTGAGTTGGTGCTCCCTTACAAATAATATTGTGTATAGAGGTTTATTGCAGTCTTAGGGGTGAGTGAAATAAGGTTTATGAATTATATACCACACAGGATTATAAGTACCTTACTTGTGGTAATGAATTAAATTCTTGTGAAAATTATTAAATAGAAAGAAGGTCAAATAGGTAAAGAAAACAAAAGGAATTTTTGGGTGATTTTTATACTCAAAATATATTCCCTTACAAAAACTAATTAAAAGTGGATTAATCAATCATTAAATCAATCAATAATTAGAAAATGTAGTATAAAATAAGATTAAGAATAGAAATAAAAATACAAACTATACAAGACCAATTAAACTTAAACTTAAAAGCAAGCAAGTAACCATTAAATGGTTGTATATTATATGTAAAAACAATATGACACCACCCTATATAATAACATACACCAGAATAAAACAAGATTATATAATAATACTTGGTGTAAGTAGTACTTAGTTTTAGTGTTAAAACAGAAATATGATGCAGGACATAAATTAAGAAAACAGTACAGTATTCAGAAATATGTCTCAGGCATCCTGTAGGAATTATGCAGGATTTTGCTTCACTTTCCTTTTTTATTTATTATTCTTGTTTATTTGTTTTTATGAGTAAACATTGATTAGGTATAGTTTGTAACCTTGTTGGTGCATCTGTCTGGGCCAAAGGGGTTGGAGCATGTTTATTATTGTTTTATTTTGTAGTTATTATTGTTTGTATATGTCTGTTAAGGAGTTATTTAAATATATAAAAGAGAACTTCATGGTTTCTGAGAGACAAACCTTTAATGCAAGTATTTGTGGACACTAGGGGGCCAAATAACCTCTAAACAACTATTATGACCTACTAAGATAGCTGGATATTGGATAGATACTTTATTGATCTCTATGAAACATACAGTACACTCCCTGTGTCACTTAATATATATAAATATTTCAACAAAATAATATTTGCTGAAATATTGTATAGTATGCTGGTTATTCCTGTAGCTGCAAGTTTTAAATATTGATTTAGTAATTCAGGTCACAATAAACCCTTTTCACAGTAGCCATTTTGACATGAAATAGTAAGGAAGGCAAACACAGGTGTTACTAATGATACTAATTAAGTCTCAGTTCCAGTTAGTGCAGCAGAGCCTTTCCAGTGAGCCAACATGCACAATAGCAGCACCCTGACTCTATTTGACCCCAATGGAACTGAACCTTTAAAAAACAGTGTGCAGGATTTAATGGTGTCTAGCAGTGAAGTTGCAGATTGCAACTGACTCGTATTTGACGACCTGGGAATGAGAACAAGCTGTGAAGTGTGTTGGAGAAACTACGGTGGCCTCACAAAACTCACAAAAAACAGGAGGCCCTGTCTGTAGTCAGGGATTGGTTTGACTTTTCTGGGCTACTGTAGAAACATGGCAGCAACCTGCAGTCAGTCTGTAGATAAAAACTCATTCTAAGCTAATGAAAACACAACTTTTCCTATAGTCAGATGGTTATACACTAATGAAAGCACCTATGAATTTTGTTTTCCATTTATGCCAATTGATCCTTCAAAATGTAACACGTTGGACCTTTAATTAGTATCACTGGTAACAATTGTGCATTGTTTTCCAGGTTATACCTTATCTGTGAGACCTAAACTTTGAGGAAATCGTATTGCGAACCCAGTATCATGAATTTTATTAAATCGTGGGTTGAATGTACCATAGGTTGTACAATGGTGCACACTCTGCATCGGCTTTCATGGTACAAGATGATCTCTAGTTCTGTGCCAACAGGAAGAAACCAACACAATAAAATAAACTGTTAATGTTAATATGAATCTAGGTCCAAATACAGTATAGACAAGGTTAAATGGAGTGCAGACTCACACACTGCGAGTGCATGTAATAGGTCCGGGACAGTGTGTGTGTGTGTTTTAGTACTTGGATCTTTGTACAGACCAATTAGATTTTAAGACCATGAAATTGAGGACATTTTGTAATTTCAGGACATGCCAAAGTCTCTCCACAGCCCTCCAAGAGCTGTTTGAAGGCTACAATTTGTTAGACTGAATATAAGACTAGAGTTCGGTCTGTTGTAGTTCTGATGGACAAAGATATAGTTAAAGTAAGTTGATGCAATATCTGTGGCCCAAATCAGAACTGAAAAGATCAGATTTAGGTCTCTTGTGCCTACAGTCTGAACATAGCAGTGACTGTGAGTTTATATGTGAATGTAAGTTTGACTCATGCTGTGAATATACTGTATATCTTATTGTGTCCTTCTGCATAAACCGAGCATAGATATTTGTATCCTTCAGCCTAAAGCAGGAATGCATTGTTGCAGTAGTGTATTGTTAAGTATTCACCTCTCGACCTGCACACACACACACACAGAGCAAGGGTGGCACTTTTAGTCTAACTATGCAGTTGAATCAGCTGTTTTAGCATTAGATGCTAACTCTGCAGATCAATGGCTCCCCTGGTCTATTAGTCATACCGGCCCTATTAGCATCTGCTATTAGCATCTCTTCATCAATACCATTGATCAAGCTGCTCTGGCTTCAGGGTGGTGTGGGACACAGAGGATACCTGGTGAGAGAGAGAGAGGGGGAGGGAAAGAGAGAGAGAGAGAAAAGAGAGATGGAGACAGACAACGGGTAAGAGGTAAAAGATGATACTATTATTATATTATTACATTCAGAGTGACACAAAACAACTTGGATCATATAACTTGAGTCTTAAAGGTTAAAGGAGTTGAGTTGAGTATTGAGATTTTGGAGATAATGAAATGTTTTGAAAACTTGTTGACATTAGAGATGAAATGATTTATCGATCGACAGAATGGGGTAATTTTTCCAAACATTTATTAGTTCCAGCTTCTCTAAAGTGAGGATTTGCTGCTTTTCTCTGTTTTGTTTCACTGTAAACTGAATATATTTGACTGTTAGACACATGACACATCTGAGTAGGTCACTTTCAGAAATTATGATGGGTACTTTTCTGACATTTTATGGACAGAAGGAATAATTGTGAAAATCTGCAGATTCATTTTTAGCTTTAGTTGACATTTAGTTGACCACTCGTACGAACATACTCACACAAGTGGCTTCTTCTACTGACACTTGTTTTTAGTGGTTTTCCTTTCAGTTTACATTTAAAAATCTACAACTTCACTACATTGTATGTGCTCTAAGGCAGGAAGGACTTTTTGAAAAGTCATCTGTAATTTGTTTTTTAATATATATATTAAATAAGGGTTTTTGTTTTGTTGTTTGTGTCTTTCCTGGTCATATCGTTCATTTGTACTTTTACACTCTGGCCTGGTGGTACAGGTGTAGTGTGACAGCAGTCCATCTGCCTTTGTCATTACTCCGTTAATCCTGCAGATGACAGTAGTGTGCTTATGACCTGACAATCACTGAGAAGAATTCATCCCTGAAGTGAATATCAATATGGTCTATTCAAAGGGACAAATCAGTGTTTGCAGTCCCTCTGTGAGGATCCACCGCCTGGTCACGAATCATTGCTTTTATGTGGATTTGAACTGTGTTTGTGAATGTTCCTCATTAGAGAGCTATTTCCCCTTCGGAGTCTGCTGACTCCCAGAAGTTCAAAGTGGCTACAGGCTCATCTTTTCAGCAACCCCAGTTCACTGGAAAATGTGGCTTATTTGTGCATAAATGTGCATGTAATCTTTTATCTGTGATATGTTAGAAAAGATGTACAAAGTGTAAGTAGTGAGAACATGAAGAACTGTTGAGAACACAAAAACAGTATATCCTCTGCCCCCATCTGTGCTGTGTGTGAGTCATGGTTGCTTTACTTTCAGTTAGGAATTAAATGAGGACAAAGATCAGTAGAGCAAATTGCCAACAAACGGTGATACAATACATAATTGAAAAACACTAAATCATCAAAGCAAAAGATAAAAAGTTGGAAAGAAAAAAAACATGATTATAATTTTGTTCCACTTACATGTATTTGTTAGATCCTACATAGTTTTGCTTTAATTTCCCTACACTAAAAAAAAGAAGCATTTTCTGTAGGTAATGTGAATCAATTAACGTGTTAGCATCTTCATTCATCTTTAACCTTCAGTGAGACACTGAGACCAGCTTGAATTGTGTTTGGATTACAAACAAAACCATTTTCCTTCTTTTTGGACTACAGGTACATGATGCAGATTTGTATACATGCCCCAAAGAGGAGTGAAAGCTCCCTCTACCAATGTACTCCTTATTTTATGTCAGATGTGCTGATGAGAGGTGACAACAAATAATGCTTCAGAACTAGCATTCCTATGAAGATGACTATGATATTCACAGAAAATGGACTGATTACTTAAACATCAGACGGAGGGTGAGGCTGCAAAAGAAAGAAATAATGAGAAAATAATCAGTGTAACTTGAATATCTTATACTTATTGGAACTCCACTGATTTAACTGCACTCCTCTAACACTGTCATAACAATAACAAATGTTACAACCGAACCAGATCTTTTTTCAGACTTAAGTGACATCACTTGAACACATTTATCAGTTTTCATCTTGTTTTGGGCTTTTATTGCCTTTAAATGATGAAGAGGGGATGACACACAGCAAGGGGCCACAGGTTAATGTTGAACCTGTGGCCGCTGCAGCGAGGACTAAGGAGTTGGTACATAGGGCATCAGCTCTACCAGGTGAGCTATCAGGATCAGTGCCCCCACAAAAGGCTTTTTACAACTTGTGTAAATGTACAGTAGAACTCCTCAAGACCAAGACA